TAATATTAAATTTATCAAAAATAAATAGATTGTAAAGTTGATCGAAAGCAAAAGCATTAGATAAATATCAAGCTAGAGTTTATGATTTGATTATTTTTTTTCCTTTTAAAAATTTTAAGGTTTGTTGAATCACCATTTGAAATTTATCTTTTAATCTTACTTCTTTTCATAAAGTGATCAAGAAAAGTAATTTTCCAAAAAAAACAAAAATATGCTTGAAACCATATATTTAAAACGTAAAATTACTAAATATTATAGTTGATTTCAAAAAGTGGATTAAAACCTTTTTCTTAGAAGATTAAATCAAAATGCAAGGTGTTGGTAAATTCAACCACATTTATTGTTCAGTTTAAGATTGATTTGATAGTGAGCTAATTTTAATTGTTTGATAATTTTATTTACTATAATATTAAGTCTACTCATATTTGTATTTGAAAATATAGTTAAATATCAAATTAAATAATTATGGTTTTTAAATCTTGGGTATTTCTTATTTGAGAATAACAGAATTAATTCTGTAAACCAATTAAATAAATATTCAAAATAAATTTGACCTATGAATTATTTTTTGATTCCTTTTTTAAATATAAAAATACATTTTCATTATTGAAGATATTAAAGAAAAAATAATCATTTCTTATGGGTGTTTTCACAATTAACTAAAAAATTATTCTGTATTAATGTTCTAAACTTCTGTATTTCGCTACTAACAAATATAACTTAGATTTTAACGCAATACTGTTATCAATTTTGGAGTGTTTATGTAAAGGAATTTTTCTTTATTTCAGGTGTATCATTTTTTCGTATGAAGAATAAAGAAAGTGATGTTAAATATTTTTTTGAGTTTTCAAAATTATTTTAAGTCTGCATAAAATCTGTTTCACAAAAATTAAAGCTTACCTAAAATATTTATAAATATTATTATTATAACAATGAAAACGTTGAAATAGCTTTATCAATTCTGAATCTATGCTTATAAGTATTCAATAGCAATTTCATTCTGCAATTATATTCTTATACTATTATAAGATCTATAAATTCCAACTCATAAATACTTTTTAAGCAATTTTATTTATGATTGTAGAAAATCTAGCTAACTAAGATTTCAATTTCTCGCTCTAACTAAGCTATTGTTTATGTCTTTTTTGCTTCAGAGTTAATTATTCGAATATTATTTTATTTTAATTTATTAATTTAACTTTTGATTCTTCACTCATTACCTTCAATCTAATCTCATTAAATCATCAGATGTAATTTATTCATTCATAGTCATTCATTTAGCTCCTTACAGCTAGCCTAGCATATCATCAATATCTCTTATTAAATATTGTAATTCGTGAATAATATATATATTATAAATTATCATTTTTGCTATGACATATTTTAATTCTTATAATTTTCATTGAATGTTTAAATGTTTAAATGTTTAACAAA